GCTGCTGCAGGAGCACGCGCTGCTGCCTAGCCGTGCTGCTGCTGCAATGCACACGCTGCTGCCTAGCCGTGCTGCTGCTGCAATGCACGCGCTGCTGCCTAGCCGTGCTGCTGCTGCAATGCACGCGCTGCTGCCTAGCCGTGCTGCTGCAGCAATGCACGCGCTGCTGCTGCAATGCGCGTGCTGCAGTGGCGTGCGCGGCTGCCGCTGGCTAACGCGCGCGCTGCTGCGGGCTAAGAACGACTACGGGGGCCCGCGGGGGGGGGGGGGGGAGAGTCCCTTCTGGAGCGCGACGAAACGAGGGGCCAGCGGGGCCCTTTAAACGCGACGAAAAACGAGGCCCGCGGGGGCCCTTAAACGCGACGAAAACGAGGCCCGCGGGGGCCCTTAAACGCGACGAAAACGAGGCCCGCGGGGGCCGTCCTACCCGCGACGAAACGGGGCCTAAGGGACGGGCGCCTCGGGACCGGCTAAGGGAGGGAGCGGAAGCGTGGGAGGGAGTAAAAACCTACTCTAATACCATCTTAAAATAGGCTAGGAGACAAGTGTCGAGAGTGATGATTGAGTAAGGAGAGACAAGGAGATACAAATGTCGACCTAAAGTGTTGTACCCTTTAGAGGGCAACTCACTGTAGCCTATCTAACAATATATAGAATATATAAACATTTGACACGTAGATTCCCTATATCGAACCTATGGTGGCCGATTAGTCATCTCCGGATTGTTCCAGATGGAGCTGAAGCTGCTCCTCCACGTCAGCGGTGCTCCCCTGCTGCATATGCGTCTCATTACCACCGCCTCGTCTGCTGCCAGGTATTCCCACCTGTCAACACCGACCGCCACGCCATGCTTCCGCGCTGCAACCTGCCTTGCCAGGCAGTACACCCTGGCGTGCGCGACAAATTTTACCACCGCCAGGCGTATCACCTTCTTCGGCTGGAACTTAACATCACGACGGCTTGCATCGCACCTTGCCAACCACACCTGGTGGAGTGTGGTGGCAATGAAGGAGCTTTCCGGAAAACCGGACTTCGTGCTCCCTTGCATGAAGAGAAGGTCTTCCAAACTCTGCCAGTTCAGCTGCGGGTTCATCTCAGCCAGTCCTTGGAGGAGATGTTATGTTATGGGAGGAAATGTTATGTTAATTCCCGGTATTGCTATCGACTCACTAAGGGACACAAAAAGTCACAACCGAACTGGACATATTTCATTCCGTTTGAACAAATACTTCCCTCAGCTCTTCTCAACAGCACATATGTTTCCCATACCCTATATATTCGCAGTGAAGAATGGAAGGCAGACCTTATACCTGTAGCTGAGAGCTCTTACAACGATTAACCACAAACATTGCTTTCCTCCCAGGTACGCGGCAAGCTTCCGCATGCCCGTTTGGACCACATTTACCCGGAGAAGGTGGAGCTCACCGGAGAAGTCCCATCGCCATACTTGTCGGCCAGAATCAAAGTACGGAAGAGACGGACGGTGGTGCGCGAGATCTCTCACCATGGAGTGGTGTACCAGGGGACAAAGGAGGTGCTGAAGGCGGCAGCGGACCATTTCAAAGCTGCTTTTGGCGAGGTGCTACCAGAGGAAGAGGTGGACTGGGGGACTTTCTCGGAAGGCGCCAGATTCTCGGAGACGGATGCAGCGCTCCTTGGGGCAGACTGGACGGAGGAGGAGGTCAAGCAGGCGCTGGAGAGCCTCCCGAAGAGGAAATCTCCCGGGCAGGACGGCTTGCCCGCGGAATATTTCATTCTGCACTGGGATCTGCTGAAAGCACATGTGATGAGTTTTGTCGGGGAATTCGCCAGGAAGGCGAGTATGCCGGAGAGCTTATCGACAGCGGTGACAGTCCTGCTGCATAAGAAGGGGCCAACAGATCAACTGGGGAACTACCGCCCCATCACACTTCTGTCAGTCATGTACAAGGTGGTTACAAAAGTTATGGCTACAAGGCTCAAAAAGGTGCTGGGCAAAGTCCTGTCAAAAGAACAGCACGGCTTCTTACCGGGGAAAAGCCTGGCGGACGCAGTATCAGTGGTAGCGGATGCGGTGGAGGCAGCGAACAGCGGCAAGGAAGATTGGCTACTGCTGCTGGTAGATTTCCAGAAGGCCTATGACACGGTCTCGAGGGTCTTCCTTTTCAGGGTCATGAAGGAGCTGGGGGTGCCTGACAATTTCATCGGCTGGACCAGGGGCCTGCATGCAGACGCAGGGACAAGGGTCATAATTAATGAGTGGTTAAGCGACAGGGTGGAGATGAACAGAGGGGTCAGGCAGGGGTGCCCACTGGCGCCATACCTGTTTCTTTGCGCACTCGAGCCGTTATGCAGAGCCACGCAGCGGGAGAAGCTGGGCATCGGACCGGTCGGGAAGGAGCCGCTTGCATATGTGGGATACGCCGACGACACATCATTTCTGCTGAATGGAGAAGCCCAACTGCGGAAGGTGGTGGAGGTCTTGGGCACCTTCGGGAAACAGTCAGGGCTGAAGGTGAATTGTGAAAAGTCAGTGGTGGTACCGCTGGGAAGCAACCGGGGAGAGCCGGCGCCGGCAGGCGTCTCGTATAAATGGTCGGAGCAGGGAGAGCCGGAGAGGCTCTTGGGGGTGTGGATAACGCCCAACGGTGACCCGGATCCATCCTGGAAGAGGGCGTACGAAAGGATAAAAGAGGAGCTGAGGAAGTGGGAAGCGCAATATCTAACAACCACGGCAAGAGTGGCAGTGATTAGCTGCTATGTCCTGCCAGTACTGATGTTCCAGGCCCAAGTCTACTCGCCGCCGGAGGAGACATGGGAAAAAATCAGGAAATTATGTCACGCGTTCGTATCGGCAGGGGAGGCGGCAGAAGAAAAAATATTCATCCTGTGGAGCGCGTACCTGGCGTGTCTGCCGCGGAAGGATGGAGGTCTGGGGCAGCTGGACCCGAAGCTTTGCCTGGACGGGCTGGCGATCCGCAGGATCGGAAAGTTTCTGAAGGAGCCGGACGGAACGCGCCGCTGGCTGGCAGAGAAGGCGGCGGCTTTCCCGCAAGGGCTGGCCACGCTGTACGCGCACCCGTCGGCAATAAAGCAGTGGCAGCGCGGTAGCGAACGATGGAAGGCGGCGGCAAAAGTGTTCTGGAAATCACCTTTCGCGACACTGCCGGCACCAAGGAGCAGGTGGGAGGTGGAAGAGGAGTTTATTCGTTTCAACAGAAACATCATGCATCGAGGGGAGAGCCCTTTCGGTCACCAAATAGGCACAGCGGCCCTCATCACCACGCGCGTTCGGGACCTGCTCACGGACGGGCCAGGGGGACGGAGGGGGGTGAAAGATGAAGAGGTGCTGACGATTGAACTGGGAAGCAAGGAGGCGGCGGTCATGGCAAGGAAGGCATACGGGGCCATGCCGCCGGAGTGGAGGAAATTGATCGAGGAGCCGGCAACGGCCGAAGCTCTGGTGAAAGCATCGGGAGTGGTGAGGTACATCCTGCAAGGGCAACCGGCTAGACTCCCATGGGCAGTGGACGGGGTGGACGGCAGGAAGGTGGTCGCGTCCAGCATGTCCCTCGGTGAAGACGGGAGAATAGGGAAAAAAGCAAGAGCGGAGAAAACGTGTTTCGAAGCGTGCAGACTCCAACCGATGGCGGTTCAGAAAGGAATACTGCTTGGCCCCGTGGGAGATCCAAAGGTGCGGTTGCTGTCTCTACCAGGACTGTTCGCTGGGGGAGATTTGGTGCCGCTACGCGGGGTAAGGGCCGCACTATCCAAGGCGAAAGGGCGTTCTTCGAGACAAGCGGAGTGGGAGGACGTGTGGGGAAAAAAGATTGACTGGCGGAAGGTCATTGAGACCAGAGACTCGATAAATGTACCGGGCAAGGCGAGGGACGTCCTACTAAGGGTTCACAGCATGAACCTGCAGGTTGGGGGGAGGCTGGGTTTCTTCCAGAACATGATAGCATGTGTGCACTGTGGAGAGGAGGAAACCCTAGCACATTGTCTCTACAGCTGCCCGGTCATACAACCGATCATTGGCGCGCTGAAGCGGATGTTGCACATGCTGAACCCGGGCAGGTCGGTGGACTGTCTGGGGGACCTACTGTTTGGCGAAAAGGGCACAGCGTCAGGTTTTCCGGAGATGACGCTGACATCAGTGGTGCTTAGGCAGATCTGGTTGGCGCGATGCAATGCAGTTTGGCGCGCAGCTCCTTTCGAGAGAAAGAAGGTGGGGAGATGTGCTGTGCTGGACTTCATGACGCATGCGAGGGTGGTGCTGGCAGCAAGGGGAAGGCTGGCAGCGGCCGATGAAGGGAGAAGTTTCTGGAAGACAGACAACTGGAGCCATGTGGCTGCGGATGAGAAGTTTGCAGCTTCACAAGATTTGCGGTGATGGTGGGCCAACAATTTGGGCGGCTCCTTTCCTCTCCATCTGGCGCAACCCGCGCACTTTCTATCAGCCTCCGTAGCATGCCATAGGGGGGCGGTGCGGCGTCCACAAGGCGTGGCCTAGACCCTCCAAGATATACAGTTACGACTGCGGATGTATCTATATTTGATAATATATTTACACCTCCAAAAAAAAAAAAAAAAAAAAAAACATTTACCCGCCTCGCCACGTCTTCTCCAGCTGTCACTACCGTCGCACCCAAGTTTGACTTCGATGTTGGGAAATTCTACTGCGGACGTCAGCAGCTTCGTTCGGACTTGATTGGTAGGGAATCGCGACGCGATTCCCAAGGCATATCGCCCCCTCGAATTCGTCTCTTTATTTCTTCACAAGCGCACAGCATCCTTTCCTTCCTTCGTCAGAACCCTCAACAGGCTGTAGCGATTGTTGGTTTCCCTTTCGAGAACGAGTTATTTGTGGCCTGAATGTCATTCCGTTCCATAGCCGATCTTCTTTCCCAGGCTTGTTCTTGGCGGGGTTTCTTCGCGCCAAGTTAGTTAATTCTTAGCCTTTTCCTTGGCGGGATCTATCGTTTCTTTTTCAGGCTTGTTTGTGGCTTGTTTCGCACTAGATGGCGCAGAACCCCTCAGCACCGACCTCATCGCTGGAGCCGCCGAGTCTGCTGGTGGTGGGAGCAGGCCCGGTCGGTCTCGTCGCGGCGTGCGAGTTGCGGCGCCACGGGCTGCACGTGCGCGTCGTGGAGCGGAATCGCGCGCCGTCGGAGCACTCCAAGGCGCTGGCGCTGCACGCGCGCACGCTCGAGATCTTATCCGCGCATGACGGCGTCGTGGACGCTTTAATCGCCGCGGGAACCATAGTGGAGGTGAGGGTCGAATTCGCGCAGGAAAAGTGAATAGTGAGACAGGTGCAAAATACCACTCGTACGATTTATTGACAAGCCGTAACCCTAATGCACTATTTTCAGTGTTCAGAAATTGGTCGCTCGTTGTTCTCAATTTGCTCGCCAATGTCCCTCTTCGATGTCCCTGTCCAATGTCCCCCTCTGATGTCACTGTCCGCCAGGGAATTGAGGTCCGAACAGACGGACATCTGGCGGCGTCGCTTGCTATTTCCGAGTTAAACGGTGGCCCCGCCGGAGATGACGGCAAACGGCACGGCAGGGACCACGGTATGGCGCGCCGCGAGGAGCAATCCGTGAATTGCGGGGATGACTCGAGGCCGAGTGTGTGGGCGACGCAGTTCCCGTTCGTGCTGATGGTGCCGCAGAGCGACACGGAACGGATTCTGGCGCGGTGCCTCAAGGACGTGTACGGGACGGACGTGGAGTGGCAGACGGAGCTTGTCAGAATCCGTCAGGTGCGCTTTGAGAAAAGCAGAATCAGTCAACGGTTTCTACATCTTGGCTCATGCTTCGTGGCTCTACACCATATCAACGAGATATTGAAGGTCGCTGCAAAAATACCCTAAACCTTCTTACACTCTGAAACTCTGAAACCTCACCACTCACAGGACCCGAGTGCAGTGCACGTGGAGCTTCGGCATGCGCATGGGCGCACAGGACAACGCCCCACTCCTGCCACACCATCCCACTCCACAGCAGCAACTGCTGCAGCCACAGGCACAGGGACTGCAAACCGAGAGACGAGAAGAGAGACGGATAGAGAGGAGTGGAGAGCGGTGGAGGAGGGTGGGACGGCGGAGGGCGAGGTAGAGGTGGCGGCGTTTGACCTGGTGTGTGCGTGTGACGGCCCGCACAGCACGTGCCGCCGCCAGCTGGGGCTCTCCTTCGACGGCCTGCAGTACCCCATGCACGCGCTCCTTGCTGACGTGGCGCTTTCCCATTGGCCGTTCCCGAGGAACAAGGGCCACGTGTTCACTCGAGGTAAACGTGTGGTGGCACCTGGTGTGGGGGGGAGAGGGGGAGGAGGGGGAGGGGGAGGTGTTTTAGTGGCTCTGCCATTTGGGGTAAATGGCTTGTGGCGGTTGATCTTTGATGAAGGGACGGCCAGGAGGTTTTCCCCGCCAGGGCTGATTGACCAAACCGAGGCCCGCAGGCAAGGGAAGGGGAAGGCGGCGGAGGGAGGCGGGACAGAAGCAGGGGAAAGGACAGGGAGGGGAGGCGACAAGAGTGAGACTCCGTATGTGGAGATCCCAGCAGGGATATCATCCTCAGTAGATGTATCTGACACCACAGAGGTCCCTCCACCAGCATCAGACACCCCATCAGCATCAACAGCAGAAACCCTATCCACAGCAGGAGTCACATCCCCAGCGGTGGTATCTGAGACGGCCCATCATGGTCCGGCCACCATCCCTTCCGCCCCTCTTCCTTCCACTCCTCCTTCTGCTGCCTCTGCTTCTAGTCTTACCGCTGATGGTTCTGGTGGTGACAGTGCTGATACAGCACCGTCCTCTTCCCCAGTGACAGCTCAGCAGCCAGCATTGACACCTCAGCACGTGTCCGCCATGCTCAACGCCATCGTGCCATGTGGCGCCCACGTGGACAGCATCCATTGGTGCAGCGTCTTCAGCATGCACCTGCGCTCCCTGAACCGCTTCCTCCAATCCCGCGTCTTATTCCTGGGTGACGCAGCCCACATACACAGCCCTGTAGGCGGCCAGGGGCTTAACACTGGAGTGCAGGATGCTTATAACGCAGCATGGAAAGTGGCTCTGGTGGGAAGGGGTATCGCAGGGTGGGAGCTATTAACTACGTATGACACAGAGCGAAGGGCGGCTGTGGCACAGGTTCTTAAAGCCACAGATGTCGGCACTCGGGCTATGTTCCTCCCGACACTCCTCACCTCGCTCTCCCGCTCTGCTGCTTTCTTCCTCCTCTCTCACTCACACTCCCTCAGAGTCGCAGCAGCAGCCACTGTAGCGCAGCTATCCCTGCAATACCCTCCCTCCTCTCTCTTCCCTCATGACCTTCCCTCCTCTCTCTCCTCCCTCCTCTCCTCTCCCCTCTCTGCTCCCCTCCGCCTACTCCCGCCGCCTGTTGCTGCTGCCTTAGCGCCAGCAGCAGCAGCAGCAGCACCGGGGGCACGTGCACCAGATGCCATGCTGCTGCTGCTGCTGCCTCCCTCTCACCACACCCACACTTCAGTGTCACACGCCACTCGCTACAGTCGCACTGCGGCATCACATGCTTCCCCTCCGTCCAGTCGTGGTGGTGGCAGCAGCATCCGGAGGGCTGAAGGCATAGCAGAGACGCACCAGATGCACCAGCAGCAGCAGAAAGCAGAGCAGCTGCAAAGGGCAGTGCAACTGCAAAAAGCCTCGCAGCAAATGGGAGGAGGCGGCTGGCAGCCGTGCTCCATGCTCCACCTTCTCTCCTCCTGCAGCCCCGACGGAGGCACACCCTCCCACCACCTGCTGCTCTTTGCTGGCACCGGCTTAAAGCCATCTCTCCTGTGGCAGCTCAGGTTGTTTAAAGATGAGGCTCTAGCAGCAGCGGTGGGGGGGAGGCGAGGGGCGGAGGGCGAGGAGGCTGCCTGGAAGATTCCAATTTCTGTGCATTGCGTTTTGGAGGCTGGAGCGGGTGCTGAGGGGATTGTGCAGGCTTGTCGGGAGTTGATTGGTGGCGTGAACATGAACATCAGCAGCAGCTCTGGCAGCAGCAGTGCCAGCAGTAGCAGCAGCAGTGGCGGCGGCAGCAGCAGCGACAGCAGCAGCAGCGGTGTGTGTGATCCATGGGGCCATGTGAGCGTGTGTGTGGATGCGCATGGGTATGCATACGAGAGGTACCATGGGGATGCGTGTCCGTTCTACCTAGTGAGGCCTGATGGGAATGTGGCACTGAGGGCTGGGCAGTGGCAGCCGGGCAGGGCACAGGCGTACTTTGATGGGATCAGAGGCCGAATGGGCAAGGCTGGAGGGGGGTAGAGAGAGTGGTGGCAGTGGTGTGATGCAGTAGCAGTGGTGGGATGAGGTAGCAGGCATGCAAGGGTTCGGTTCTGAGGTATAGCGAATGGCAGCTGGGTAGGGCGCAGGCGAACTTGGATGGGATCAGAGGGCGCATAGGCAACGCTGGAGGGGGTTAGGGAGGTAGTAGCGATGTGATGGCGTGGCAGTGGTATCATGAAATGGCATTGTGAGGGCGGGAATATGAGTCTCAAGGCTGGTCAATGGCAGCCAGACAGGGCAGAGGCGAATGGCCAAAGTTGAAGTGGAGTAGAAAGGGCAGTGGTAGGTTGAGGTGGTAGTAGCGTGATGAGGTGCCGGTGGCGTGAAGAGATGGCAGTCCTGCTAGGGTATCATTCTGAGGGCTGGCCTTGGGCTGGCGCTGGGCTGGCCTTGAGCAATTGGAAATGTTCAAGCATGGTGTTTTGAATGGAAGGCATGGAGAGTTCAGTGGCTGGAATCAGGGAAAGCATAGGCCAGGGTGGTCGATGACTGTTATGTGCATTGCTGTTGCCTGGCCCAGTCGTGTGTACATGGCAGGTATGCTCCTCGTGAAGGTATATGTGCGTGGATGGTGATGGCGTGTGTTGATGGTGATGGCATGTGTGGATGGTGATGGCATGTGTGTGGTGGTGTCTGCATGGCGTGTGCCTTGTAGCAGCTATGCTTGGTGTGGTGTGCTTGTAAATATAAGTTTGAGACATGGGGCATGAGTATGGTACGTGACAGTAGGTATCGTGTAGTGGGCTTAGCTGCGTGTAGATCATACCATGTGTGCTGTGCAGTTGTGTATGCATTTGATTGTGTACATAGAAATGAAAGTGCCACTTCTTTATCTGAAGCAACTTCATATGAAGATCTTGCCTCAATTTCAGCCTTTCACCACATCCACCTGTCTCTTCCCTATTTGACAACGACCAGCCAAGCTAAAACGGCAAGGCCTACCCCCCCCACCCCAGCAACCACAGTGACGGATGATGATGCAATCATAGGACCCCCCTCACACTCTGCTCCGAAAAAGTGCCACAAAAAAAATGAACTGAACCAGTTTATTATGTACACAAAAAACTTGATAAACTTCAGCCTGAAGCCCCAGGTTCCTAAACTGCGTTGCAAGACCAGCCAGGCATTAGAGGCACACTAATTCCTCCAGTATCCCATGTCTACGCCTGCCGGCTGGACGGTTGAATTACCTCCTCACTGTCCCCTCTCCCTTCTTCCATCCCGCCAGCTTCACCCCCTCCCCCCTCACGAATCCCTAACTCCGCCCCCCCTGCTCCTGCTTCCGCCAGCCCCACAACCATATGTGCTAGCATCAGCTGCGCCATTTCCCCCTGCAGCTCCGCGTTTTTCCGCGACAGCCCCGCCACCAGGCGCTGCGCCTCCCCCATCTCGCGCAGCACCAGCGTCACCTGCCGCTCCAGATGCGCCACTCGCCGACTCTCGCTCTCCGCCCGCTCCTGTGCTTCTCGCAGTCGCTCGACCAGCCAAGCTTCGCGAGCACTCGACGGTTCTCGAAAATTCGCGAACGAACTGCAAATCCTTGTCGAAGCCTCGCGAAATTCTTTACCAATAACTGCTGCATCCGGCGCCGGTGTCCTTCTCACCCCAATTTCCACCTCACGAGAAACAGAATCCCTCAAGTTAGGAAACCCTAACCTAACATCAGGTCTTGTCGTCCCAGTCGCAGAAGGCTCGGGCGCTCGAGGTCGGAGTCGCTGTAGCAGCGTCGAGTTCAGCGAATCGCTGTGAAGGTAACCCAGCATGAGCGACGCGATGTCCTTCTGCGCCGTCACCGCAGGGCTGACGGCCGCCGGCAGGGGAGCAGTTACCTCCGGCAGAAAACGGTCCCCTTTGCCGCCGCCGAGCGGGGGAGGCTCCACTGGAGGCTGCTCGAAAACGAGCCTTTGGCGCTTTCTCTGCTGCTGGTGACGGTTGCACTCCGAACTTGGCACTGGCCTTGACGAATCTGGCTCTGGTTCCGGGAGACTGAGGCTGAGTCCCAGATCCGTTCCTCTTCTGACAGGCTGTAAACGACTTCCGTCATCCACGGTCGTTGCCTCCAGCGGCAGGACTCGTCCCCAGTCCGCTGTCAGAGGAACGTGGTGCTTCTCAGAACTAGAAAGATGATAAAGGCCGCGAGGCCCTGCTGCCTGCTTGATGTCGGTTGCTGACGGCGGTGCAAGATTCGGAATCAACGCGAAACGGCTCGGGTACGATTGCTCGTGGTATTTAGCACCCTCTCTATCAGTGGTAATAACATTGAAAAACTCGCGACTGCTTTCCAGCAGCATCTCGCTCTTAATGCACACATCCACCTCCTTGCGGACAACAGAGGTTATCGCGCCTGCTTCTTGGTTCTGCTGCCTCTTCGTGAACGCTTGAATTAAATGGGAGGCCGCATAGGCCCTGGAGATTGACTTGAAAGCAGACTCGCTCGGATCTTGCGAATTGAAGTGGAAAAACAACACCCAGTAGGCTGTTGCTCTTCTGGAATCTGCTATGTCGGAACCATCCATTGTCGATAATATACTACCGAGACGGAGGAAGACGAAAAGAATATTGCCTTGCTTCCGAAGCGAAGCGCGAAAAGAGTCAGAAAAGCTTTCACTGGCGCTCCCTGCCCCGACGGCGCGTCCTTCGCTCAGCTGAACTCTAGAATCTCACCCAGCCAGAACTCAAGGCTCTAGCCTCTCAACCTTCCCTCCATAAGAATCAAGGATCGCAATCAGCAGGAATGCCGGTTGCCTGTTGTTTTTCCCGTTGCCGCTGCCGCCAGGCTGGCGCTGCTCCAGCGTCGAGCTGCGTGCGGCAATGATACCGCCTGACGAGGTCAAGATGCAACGACGGTACTGCGTGTATCTAGTGACCCCGCGATACTGCGTGTAACTGCGAGAACGACGCGACGGTACTGTACGCTGCTGTACTGCCAGCTGTTACTGTACGTCTAGACAGCAGCAGCATCTACGAGAGATTGACATCCAGGCTGTCCCTCGCTGTCGGGTCGGTACCGACGAGGTGTATGTGTCACCCCCAAGGTTCTCGCGCCGCAACTGGCAACCCTCATGTCGGGACCTGAAACCACACTGATGGGAGCGGTCGCGATTGTCCGTGGCTGGCGAGTGGAATATATCGGAGGATGTCAAACAACGGCTGCTAAGCAGTCGACGCGTCGCTCCAATCGACGCATCACACCACCCCCGCAGAAAGCGACAATTCGTCGAGGGACTGTGCTCGTTTGCTTTTGGTGCATGGCCATGCAGCATCCATCCTAGATGGCCGCGGTGTCGCCGAGGAAACAGCGGCAGCAGCAAAGAAAGCAAGGGCGTATTTGTCCCCTCTGCGTGTTTTGACTTGTCTTGCTGCTGCCGCTCTTCCTGCTCCTGCGAAGCTGCTGGGGGTAACTGCTGCTGCTGAGAAATGATGGTCGGCCATCTCAACCCCAACCGTGGCAGTGAAATGGGCAATGGCAGTAGTGCTGCAGATACGATGGCTGCAACTGAAAAGGGAGCATCGAAGGGGAGAGGTCATTGCATACGCATCTTTGAGTGACCCGGATTTGAGGAAATGTTTACACCTAGGAGGACCATAAGGTGTTATAAGGCAACTTAGCGAGCAATGATCTGTTTAGGCAGACTTCTTCCCCTATCCAGGCAACATAAGGTGTATACCGTATCTGAAAATACGGTACATGATCTGGATACTTTCCAATGTTTGTCGATGCTATCAAACCATACAGTTTGTGTCACGTGACTATTTGCTGCTGAAGTGAGATCAATATAAATAGAACCCCAGCAGGTTCAAAGGTCCAGCCTACAAGTTCCAACATGACTTGCCACTCGAATATGTATATACATATACGGTACTGAGCACTCTTGGGAAGATATGGTTCGCATTGCAGTTTTTGACCTTCAACACCAGACTATAGGCCCCATGCCATGCACACGACGCAGCAGTTAACGCAAACACTTTGGACATCAAGTTCCAGACAGATTCGTGGCTTCTCCTGTCATGTCAGGGCCTCCGGTGTGAGGATGACAAGAAAGTCACGGGAAAAATCTGAGACCCTTAACGCAGATATCATAAGAACGGATGAGAGGAACATTGGGATAGGCCCAAAGAGCCATAAAGAAAGGGGGAGGAGAAAGTAGAAGGAACGATTGCCCACTGTGAAAAAGTTGTCCCCTCGTGCAAGAACCCTTTGTACATAAGAGATGGAGAGACCAGGAGACGTCTCAGGATCAATGGGGATGGTGATAAGGAAATTTACATGGCTCAGGAATCGAATGGCCTGGAAATGGAAGGGAGGAACGCATAAAAGTTCCGATTAAGAACCGCAGTAACTTTCAAGAACAGGAAAGACAAGCTATTAAATCATGAAGGAAGGACACAAACGGTCTACGTCGTGAAAAACGCACCTGAGTGTGGCATAGAAATGCGAAGAGGAAGCAGAGGAATATACAGAAGACTTTCAAAAGCAGCAGGTCAGATGAAGCTGATCCAATGGTCATGGAAGACAACGTTTCTTGAAGGTTGTCAAGGCGGATGCTGGTGAGGATAGTGGCGATTGCAACTGCACCCATAGCTGAAGTGGAAGCCAGTAACACACATGCCATGATGGAGTTCCGGAGCGATTGCACTGCCAGCATGCCATTGGTGGCGTTGCTTTCCTGGTGAAATTAGAATGATGATTACCGTCAAACTTTTTCGGAAAGGTTTATCTGAAAGTAGCACGAGCCCAACGCTGAAAGATTTGAGCAAGAGTCTGACGTTGGTGAGGTCGTACGTGCCTTCATCACGCACTGCACCCAAGTGCGACGGTTGGTGTGAGCAACGCCAAGGACAGTAGTGAGGGGCCTGCGCTTTATTTGGGTGACCAACCATGCGTGGTACGAGGCAAGCAGCAGGAGACCCGCTGGCACGAGCACCGCATCAAGAAGTGCATTCTGATAAACCATTACGTGATCCTACTCCCACAACTCCCGTAATCTTCTTCTGACCATCCAACCTAAGCATAAGTCGCCTATCGGTGAGTCAACCTTGCAACTGCCCATCTAGACGCCATATGTGATGCCTCAGGATAGAAACGCCTCACCTGGGATTCGGCCGAGGAGGGATGTGTAAACGATGTTGCGTGTGTTGTTTCGCGTTGACGCCCTAGTTTTAGGACGCTTCAGTACGGTAAGAGCAAGATGATAAAATAAACTCATGATGTGAAAAACAATATGACCTGATAAAAAACTCATGATGTGAAGCACAGTATAGTGAAGCCAGCAACTGCTAGTGAGCACAATACACCTAAAAGGATTACGCCCCTAGGTGCAAGCAGCCAATCAACCACACTACTGTGGTTGGTTTTAATGGACTTCACAACTCTTGAAACATTTTCCAATGTATCGCTCCACTCGCCCGTATTATCTATCACATAATCTGCCCGCTTGACTTTGAGCTCCATTGGCATTTGAGCGGCCACTCTCCGCCGAGCGTCATCTTCCTGCAGAGAGTTGCGCTTCATTAAACGCTCCACCTGCTGCTCCGTCTCACAAAAGACAACAATCACTGCTCGTGTAGCCCGGTTCAGACCAGTCTCGTAGAGCAGAGGAGCATCTAGAATGACCAGTGGGTGATTGGCCCACCAATGGGAGAAGAGCTGCCGTGCAATTGCGTAGGCAATGTGGGGGTGCATAATGCTGGAAGGGTGGAAGGGGGCGAAATTTGGGAAAATAAGCATTCATGTTTATATGTAAGTTTGAGCCCAGCATGAACGAAGATGCAGTGGGAGTGATAACCACACTGAAGAAGGTCAAATAACAACCTGACTGACGTGGCAATGCAGGGTGGTCAAGAAAAACCACGATGTAAAATGAGGGTGAAGGAAGTTGCACACTTACCATACTCTTTCAAGCACTACCTGAGGCCTCACCTATTCAGTCTCCTCCTCTTGTTGGCGTCGACAAACACTATCTCCCCCAGCTTGTTGCGATCTATCTCCCCTTCTGACGTCAGCACTGAAGGTCCAAATTCCTTCACCACTTGCGAATAAGCTGGGGTGTCCTTCCGCATCACATCCTGAGATGCCGCAGTTAGGGTTAGAGAGAGGTGGGGGGTGGATGAGGGGATCGGAAGAGGGGGGGGGAAGGGGGGAGTGTGAGGACGTGGGTGGAAAGAAGAGGGGAAGGGGAGAGAAAATATGTAGGGTGAGATTTTGTGTGCCGTAGGCATAGGAGGCGTGCACAAACATAGTCAATAGAAAAAGAGGTGGAATCGGAGGCAGACTTCATCTTTCGAGCAGGACTCTCTGCTACAACCAGCGGCATGACCTGCTGAGGCAGAGTCCGCAGAGGAAACCGATGCGGAAACTCCATGGGTAATTTTGTCGTAAAAGCGCAGTTTGATACCCCACATATGCACCATATTATGGAATCTAAAGAAGCATCCGTTTCCAATTAGCATCCGTTTCCACCGTTGCTATATGCATTCTCCGTAAGCGTGCGAAGGAAAATGGAGGTTACGTACGTGCGCTGTCTTGTCAGCGTCGATCACAGGAAAGCCGAACCGCGACCTGAGCTCCTGACACACAGTGCTCTTCCCGCTTGCTATACCACCCGTCAGACCGATCACCTTCATTGTAGTATGAGAGAACCTACACGATGTCCTTAAACAGGGAACTGCCCCAACCGAGCACCTTCGGCAGGAAATAGAAGAGCACTGGCCCGCCTGTTATCTTGCTACCAGTTCGTTCTGAAGTCGAAATCTCGTGATCAGTATTTGCAGCGGAGGTCCCTATTTCCAAAGCAAGGTCAGCGGAAAACAATTTGGCTCCCAGCTGGTTACCCAGTTGTCGCTAGCGATGTCAATTCCGTGCAAACGAACGGTTACGTGGACACCTCAACAAGCGTGGATCGTGGTGAGAGGTTACTGATGAAAATAAGCCAATATCAACTAGCACATTACATGCAGCAACTACCAAGCAAACATATACATCTTCACATAAGCCCTTAAATGACGCCCCTAGCACACTAAACCGGCGATATCATGCACTCCATTCAGACAACCTCTACACATCAGCATCATCCTCATCATCATGCATCTTCCCCACACCAAGCTTCCTCTCTCCAAAGAATCCATCCCAGGGCAAAGCATGCTCCGCCGTCCTACGGCACGTCACCACCAATCCTGGCAAAAGCGTTCCCACCTCCCTAGCTGCAACCCTCAGATCCACACCAGCATCACCACTTCCACTTCCCTCTCCTTCCTTTCCACCTTCATTGCCAGCAATAACTCCATACGAAACCAGCAGCCTCCGCAACCTAAAATCCTGCAGTCCAGGACGCCTTCCCTCTCCCCCAGCCCTCACCTCCTCCCCATCTCCACCATTGCCAGCAAGCTCCCTGGCCGCTGCCAAGAGCGAGAGCAGCAGGCCAGAGGAAACACCCGGGCAGTCAAAAAGATCCAGCAGAAGGAGCTGGGGCAACTGCAGCTGGAGTGAAGCAGTGGAAGCAGCGCCAGCTGCAGCGTCAGCATGCCAGGTGTCGCCAAACAGCGCCGCCACAACAGCAGCGTTGTCCACCGCTGTGCGCGCCAGCCTCAGCACCTCCAGCCGCCCGCATCTCCCCGCCAGCTGGCGCAGCCCCACTGGCCCCACGTTCACACAGCCGCCCAGACTCAGCTGCACCAATCGCGTGCATCCATTTGCAATCGCCACCACCCCGGCATCGGTAACATGAGATTGCACAGGAGGCGGGGCGACACGCAGGCAGGTTCTGGCATAGGAGGAGGAGCTGGTGAGGAGGAAATCATTAGCAGCGCTGGCAGCAGCAGAGGCGACAGCAATGAACCGAGCCAGTGGCTGAGTGTGCAAGGCGGTGAGGTTCGGGCAGTACTCAGAAACAGCTGTGAGAACGGTGTCTGACGCCAGCGGGAGGGCGAGGCTTTCCAGGAGAGGGAGGCCCCGGATGGCCTGGCACAGCACTGCCTCGCTTGTTTTCCACTCAGGTGAGCCGCTGTTCAGGTTGGATGAAGGGAGATGTGGCTCGGTTTGGGAGAGATCCAGAGTGGTGAGCTGGCGGAACAGGTGGCCCACGAGCTGCCACGTGGAGCTTTGGGAGTTCTGCGCGTGGAAGGCCCGCAGAGGCGTTGAGGAACGAGCAGCGAGGGCGAGCAGCAGGGAGGAGGCGGGGGGCGAGTCCCAGGCAACGGAACGGTGAGGGGAGACGTAGAGGCGGATGGAGGAGAGGCAGGGCGCCAGAGACGACCCCGGAGGACAGTAGAAAAGGTCGCCAGGCTTTGGAGCGGCGATGGAGAGCGTCGAGAGAAGAGCAGCCGTTTCAGAGTCTAGAGTGTCGGAAGAAGCGGATGGGTCACCCGCTACGCCGCTCTCCGTCAGCACCGGATCAGCTGCCGCGGCAGCCAAAGCAGGAGCCTCGGTGGGTGGCGCCGCAGCCGCAGGCTTGGCGGGGTGGTTGCGGGATTGATCCAAGGCGTGGGAGACGAGGGAGAGGTGCTGCAGGGAGGGGAGGAGCGCGAGCAGCAGCGACACCACCTCCCAGATAACGGCATCCGAGCAAAGCGAGAGCGCCGTGAGGTGTGGCAGCGACGTCGCCAGGTGGCATATGGTCTCCGCAGTGACGGTCGCGCGCGTGTCGAGGTTGAGCGAGGTGAGGTGCGGGAGGGAGGAGGCGATGGCGTGCAGATGGGCGTCCGTGAGGCAGACGCGCGGCGGGTGGATGGAGATGGGCTCGCGGGAGGGGGCGGGCGGAAGGGGAGGGGGAGCGGGGGGGAGGGAGGTTGGGGAAGGAGGGGGAGAGGGGTCGGACGGTGGGGGAGGAGGTGCGGCAGGAGCTTCAGCAGCAGCAGCGGGAGCAGGGGCGCCGGGAGTGGCTGAAATGCCGCGCGGAGCGGGCGCCTGCGATGGGGGGATGGGGACGTTAGTCGAGCCGCCCACTTGAAGGCCGTCGTCTTTGCCCCACACGCGACCCGCGCTTGCGCCGCCTGCCGCGGCCTCGCCCCCCTCCGCCCACGTCACACACGCCGAGGGGGTCAGAAAATGATCCGAGCTCAGATTCAGGGATTTGAGCTGACGTGGCAGCGCCGGTAGGACCACCGTTGCGAGCTCTGTTTTGGTCACAGGAAGGAACCCGGGCGGCGCGGTGCGACGATCGGGCACAGCTTCGATGCAGCTCACCAGCGAGAGCGATTCGATTCCCGAGGCGCGTTGAAGGATCTGCACAATGCTGTCGGCCGATATCTTATCGTCGTCAGGACGCGTCGCGTTACCACCCGCGCCTGGACGGATCTCCAGAGAACGGAGAGTGGCGGCGAAGCGCGTCGCCAGCTCCAGCATACGCGACTTGGAATCTGAACTAGCAATAGTTGTGAGGTCGTTAGAAAGGTCGTTAGAAAGGTCGCTCGCGACATCCTCGAGCACGAACGGCGACGGTCGCAGGAGTCGCACGCAGGCCGAGTCGGAGGTCGGAGGTCGGAGGTCGTCGCCTGCGGCGGTCGCGAGAGCCATATCCGGCGTCGCCATACTCGAAAGAGCTCCAAGAAAGAACGAAAGAAAGAGCTGAATACGATGAACCTAGTTGCGATTGACAGAAGTAGATGTAAGATGCGCGTATAGAAATTGACAGTACCGATCGCCTTTAGTACCTCCAAGAAAAGGTCCACCTACAGGCGTTTGCTAAAATACCAACCAATGGGCCGGACAACACGGAGAAGCGCACCCACAGGTGGCGGAAGGATCGAAGCGAGTTCCAAACGTATGAACTGGGAGCAATGGAGTGTACGGACGGAGCCTTTGGTGCATCTCTGGTCAGATCAGTTCGGCGCGCACTAGGCTCAAGGTGGGAGCGCGAAAAATGAAGTACAAGTGGCGAGAGACGAGTTGGTTTGGGCTGGTGTAGGCTGGGTTCAAGAAAGAGTTGGCTCGGTTGTGTATGGTATGCTGTGGTAGATGCGAACGAGGAAGCTGACTTAGAGAAGTGGCAAGGCGAGGCGGGAAGGGAATGCGTCAACTCCGGCTAATTTCGGCAATCGAACCTGCGCAGGTTCTAATTTTTACGGGGTTAGAAGAGGTTCTAATTCGTTTTGGATGCAATTGCGAAATTTTAGTACGGTGGCGGATCGATATTGACTCGTCCTAGTACAACAGAGCTGAAACAAGTGGAGCGATCCGTCTTGATGGGTGCGGCGGGATGACGAGGAATGACGTATCAGAAGGTACGAGGAAAGTATTACTCATTTACGACGTGTTACAATTCACGGGCTCTGCATCGGCTCGGGTCAGGACGTGTCCTATAGAAGGCTCCAGGAAAGCTATAATCCGTAGAAGTTTTGCAGCAGGCATGCAATAACGTCATGTGTTCCAATGAAAGCCTCGCAAATAGCTCTTTAGATCCCTATCTTGAATAATGTCTTTGCCAGATCAGGCTCGGGTTTGACATCCTGCTTGCCTGGAGCCTTCCAAAGGCCCCTAGTTGTCCCGAGCTGACGCTGTGCACCGCAAACTGCAACACGTCGTTATTTAGTTTGCATACGCACGTTCACACGCTTCAAACTCTGGGGAAGTCCTGAGAATGAAAAAGAGTCCCAGCCCTCAAATTCCAGTTCGAAACATCATTTCCCGGACTAATTGATGTTAGATAAGAGTCGTCATGAGATTTCGCTAAGTCTTGAAGATTCTTGAAGTTCACATATTCCACAAAATCTGGCCCTTAGCAGACTGACACTGTCTTACCCTTATTATTGAGTGAAACCCCATCACTGCACCCCGCGTGCCTGACTCTCTCCAAGCTTCCCGTTCAGGTCAGGAGTGCTTTCGCTGACTTGCCCAGGCTGGAGACTGGATCACTGTTGGGTTGGACACTGAAACTTGGGAGTGATTACTGCGGAGCGAAAACACTGCCTATTCCAGAAGTCATGTTGCTGTATAACAACGGCAACATTTGTACACTCCCAACGGTCCACTAAGATTAGATGCAAATCACATAAGGGGGTGGAGGATGGGAAGTTGAATCAGCGTTAATACTTTTACAATACTCGACCACTTTGCGCATTCCAGCTTTCATCATTATCATCATCCAACTCAAGATCCCGCTCTCCAAAAAAACCATCCCACGGCAAAACGTGTTCTGCAGTCCGCCTAGCAGTAACCACCAACTGTGGCAACAACATCCTCACCTCCCTTGCAGCAAGTCTTAAATCAACGTCAGAACCCATCCCTCCACTATCTCCACCATCCCCCACCATTCCCTCTCTGTCAAAGTTAGCGAACAACGGAATGTGTGAACTAGGGAAACAAAGGATACAAATAGCAACCCTAAAAGTGTTGTACTCCCTAGAGTGCTACTCACTGTAGCCTAAGAACCTATAATAACATTTGACACACCCCCATAGGCTAAGTGAGGGGCATCAAAGCAGGCAGGGTGAACAAACGGTCACAAGACCAGTCAATGCAAGAAGCAAAGCAAGCTCAGGGTGGATCTCAAGGACACCACACAAATTCCGAGCACAAGCAAGCGGCCACAAGGCCAGTTCAAGAGTTCACTAGGATATATATAGCAAAGCACAACAAGCAGAGCAAACAGCAAGTCTACAGCAACCGAGGGCCTACCTCAACAAGCCCCAACTGCACACAGAACTTGTGGTGGTCACCAAGCGCCAGGGCCTTGGTGAAGACGTCTGCAGTGTTGGCCTCTGAGGCCACAAAGTCCAGGCGTGCCTGGCCGCGTCGCTGTAGCTCTCGCAGAAGGAAGTACCTCACGTCAATATGCTTCACTCTGCTCTCCAGTCGAGGCTCTCGACACAGGAGGATCATGGCCTTGTTGTCAGCGTACAAGGTCGGTGCAGAGCGAGGCCGCTCACCAAGGTCGGCGAGCAAGAAGGTCAACCAGCGAAGCTCCTGTGCCGCCATGGCACCAGCGTATATCTCTGCCTCTGCACTGGAAGTAGCCACAGACGACGACCGTGTAGACCTCCACGACACAGCACCATCACCCAAACTGAAGCAGTAACCCTGAGTCGAGCGCTGAGTCTCCACGTCGTCAGCGTAGGAAGAGTCGCAGTGACCAGTCAACGCCACTGGCTGAGTCCCTCCAAGCACAAGCCCCATGCCTGATGTAGTCGCCAGGTACTTCGCCACCCTCACAGCAGCTGTCCAGTGGACAGGACGGTGTCTCCCAGTCGCAACAAAGCGAGAGAGGACGCTGAGGGGAAAGGCGAGGTCCGGCCGAGTACAAGTCATCAGGTACATGAGGCAGCCCACCAGCTCTGCGTAGGGACCACTGGACTCAAAAGGCTCGTCGGGAAAGGGGCCAGTGAGTCTGTGGTCAACAGCAAGAGGTGTGGGCTGTGTGGTGGAGAACTGGAAGTCGAACCGCCGAAGGACCTGCTGCACCATGTGTGACTGAGTCAGTGTGATGGTGCGAGCGGCTCTGTCCCTGGTGATCTGCAGGCCAAGGTAGCGCTGCAGTTCACCTAGGTCAGTGCACGTGTGTCTCTTCTGTAGTTCGGACTTCACCTGAGCTAGAGCTGCCCTGTCTGCTGTGGCAAAGACCAAGTCGTCGACGTACACTAGTATAAAGAAAGGAGTGGAACCAGTGCGAACAAACAGCGACGGGTCGGCAGAGGAAGGACAAAACCCAAGGTCACGAAGCGTGGAGCGAAGAGTGTCGTGCCACTCACGGGGCGACTGGCGGAGACCGTAGACTGGCCGTCTCAGGCTCCACTGGGTCCCAGGTGGGAAGGTGTCAGTGAAGCCAGGAGGGCGGCGCAGCCAGATCTCCTCGTGTAGTCGGCCCTGGAGAAACGCAGTAGAGAAGTCAAGGGAGTGCAGCTCGTAGTCTCGCTGTGCTGCTACGTGCAGTAACACCCGAAGAGTAGTCATCTTCGGGGTCGGGGCGAAGGTCTGGAAGAAGTCAACTCCCTCACGCTGACTGAAACCCCTAGCCACGTAGCGCGCCTTGAACACAGGCGGTGATCCAGGCGGCCGCTTCACCTTGAAGAGCCACATGCCATCGACTACGTTCGCCCTGGGAGGGGGAACTGCGTCGACGTACGTGCCTGTAGATCTCCAAGACGCTAACTCCGAGGCCATAGCCGCTTTCCACTGTGAGGCCCACGCCCCTGACACTGCCTCGCGGTAAGTGCGAGGAGTCGGTATGTCAAGGGCGTCGGGGTCTCCCTCAGGGGATAGCAGCATGGCACAGACAGAGGGGGAAGCGGCTGCCCAGTACTCCAGCTCAGACTCTCTGTCCTCTAGGACGTCACAGCCAAGGGCAAACCCACCCCCGACGGACAGAGGACGGGAGGGAGGAGCTGGCACCACACGGGTGGTGTAGTCAAGGCGACTGGCGGCAGCAAACTCAGCGACAGCGGCAGTGAGAGCCGAGACAGACGACGGAGGGAAACGAGAGTCGGTGACAAGAGTGGCGAGGACACGAGAGACAACAGGACGAACAGCGCGGTAGTAGTCAGTGACAGGAGTAGGGGGGAAAGGGAGAGAGGACGGAGGCGGAGACGGGAGAACGGACTCAGGAGGAGGACGACGAAGAGACGAACAAAGGAGGGCAGTGCGGAGGTCGGTAACGGGAGACGAGTGACGAGCACGCGGAGGACAGGGACGGACACGAAAGTGTGGGACAACAGGTGGAGGAGACTGCGGTGGAGGAGAAGACCAGACCGCCGGACTGTCGTCAGGAGGAGGAAACGTGGGACCAAACGCTGGAGGGGACGGAGTGTGAACAGGAGGAGAGGAGGGAAGACCAAGGGCCCAAAGGCCACTCACGGGTGGGAACAACTGCCGCTCCAGAGGGAGCTGCTGTGGTCGCAGCTGCGGCGGCGGTGTCTGCTGCTGCTGCGGCTGCTGCTGCTGCTGCGGCTGCTGCTGCTGCTGCTGCTGCTGCTGCTGCTGCTGCTGCTGCTGCTCCAGCAGGTCCAACTGCCGCAACTCCTGCCGCTCTCTCTCCAACAGCACCTGCTCCTCACGCTCACGCCGACGGGCCGCCTGGAGACGTGTGTCGTGGCGGTGGGGAGGCGGAGTGGACTCCGCAGAACCAGTGCCTCCAGCTCCAGTCTCCTCAGAACCAGCACCTCCAGTGCCAGCGCCTCCAGCACCAGCACCCCCAGAACCAGCACCCCCAGGACCAGCACCTCCTGTGCCAGCACCTCCAGCTCCATCACCCCCAGAACTAGTACCGCCAGTGCCAGCACCTCCAACTCCAGCACCCCCAGAACTAGCACCTCCAGTGCCAGCACCTCCAGCTCCAGCACCCCCAGAGCTAGCGCCACCTGCACCAGCACCTCCAGCTCCAGCACCCCCAGGACTAGCACCTCCAGTGCCAGGACCTCCAGCTCCAGCACCCCCAGGGCTAGCGCCACCTGCGCCAGCACCTCCAACTCCAGCACCCCTCAAACGAGCACCCCCGGACCGAGTACCGCCAGTGGCTGCACCTCCAGCTCCAAAACCAACTGAGTCCACAGTAGCCTGTCGCGGAAGTATCGAAGGCTGCTGAGGGGACTGTGAGGAGG